GTGGGCTGACACCTGGAAAATCAAAATTAATGCAGAAAAAACTAAAGCCATGATAATTTCGAAACAAAGACCTCCCACTAACACACCCAAACTAACGCTCAACAACACCGAAATCCCCTTTTCTAAATCTCTCAAATATCTTGGCGTTATCATTGATTCTAGACTAAACTTTGCTGAGCACCAACCTTTTAAATTGATAAATTTAAAAAATTTTAAAAATTCTAAAAAATACATGCCAAGGCGTAAAGTAGCAACAACGCTACACATTAAAACTGATGATGGTGGAAAACACCGAAACGTTTTTTTAAATTGATAAATGAACAATAAATGACTGAAGAACCCAGGATTTGATTTTAATTTTGGAATTGAAACACAGTCAGGAAAGTACGTACAATGAAGATTGTTTTTTAAATTAATGAAAAATTTTTTTTACTATCTGTTATTTTAGAGAAACTGATGATGGTGGAAAACACCGAAACGTATTTTAATTGATAAATAGACAATAAATAACTGAAGCCCAGGAATTGATTTTGATTTGGAATTGAAACACAGTCAGGAAAGTATGTACAATAATATGCAGGACATTCCTTTTAAAAAACGCAACTTTGATACCTTTAGAGCCTTTGGGACACCGTGTATATTACCAAAATATTTTTAAAATGTGCGCTCGGTAGGCGTCGGACCATTTATAAAATAATACTTATTAAAAATCAAACGGTTTAGCCGCAAACTTCCGTGTCGTATAGCGTTAATAACCCTGTAAAATAGCACGCAAAGGATAATGACAAAATTTCTTACTGTTCTACTAAAAGATGTGTACTCCAGTCAACGTCTTTGCCTACAATTCAAACCGAACGAAGTATTCTTGCATTATGTGAGCAACTAATTAACGAGGTTTAATCTCCATTTTGCTAGACATTGCTAGACATGCAAACATAATAAGGACTAAGCTTACCAAGGGTAGTCAGCGCTGGGTCTGTGACCAACTTCCATAATGGTATCGGACACCTTTTTGGGACCGCCCATTTCCATACCTTGCTTTTGCCACCAGGCGCAATTGATCAGTGTTCCTGTGGTTGCGTTCATTGCTAGCACTCTAGCAGATAATACTGAAGAATCTGAGACTAAGATGTTTTTTGAAATGGCATCTTGTAAACCTGAAAACAAACAGGTACTTTTGTCATTTTGTCAGTGGTCAGATGCTTTGTGCTGTCTTTGTTGCCAGTTTCATATGCTTTATGTTATAGTCAGCACTTGGATATACGAGTATTTAGTAGTTTAAAACAGCAAATAAATATTGCAAATGCAAGGGGATTCATTGTAAATGGAAATCCATAAAGTTCGTACAGTACTTGAATTATGATCTGGTAGTTCAATATTTTGTCAATGGCGTGGTAGATGAGGAATCAATTAGATGATTCGACTGCTTACTTTGCACCCTTTGGTTCAATAAATCATTTGTGTTCAATTTTAGTGTGCGTGTTGTTTGCAATGCAATTTAATCTGCAGAAATAAGAATTTTTTAATTGAGAAACAGCACGATTGCGCTAAAGGAAAGACGACTGTTCTTAAAATCAAAAAATGTTTTGCAATCTTATCAATCAATTTTCCAACATTTAGACCCAGATTTTCTGAAAGCCTACATCATTTTAATATAATTTCTTCTTGATACATTTCCTGCATTTGTCCAAGTAGCAAGTTTTACGTCAACACTTTCGCATTTTTATTACACATTATTACTATGACCAGTTTTCTATCTATTTACGTATTGATCTGTTATATGTTCAACTTATTTACATTAATTACATGGTGATTCAAAAATGCCGTCATTCTTTTAGGGTGTTTAGGCAGTACAGAAAAAAAAGCAAAAAGATTAAGTAAAAAAAAATTATCATCAAAAACTGAGATATTTGCATAAATCTAGATCAGAAGGACGGCGCGGCGGCAATGTTTTTCACGGCAATCTGTCTTATTAACATTACGTAATAATTCTGAAACCTGATAAAGGGCACGTTAAAATCTTGAGACAATGTTGTCAAATTTTGTTCGGTTTCGGAAATATTTGAAAACAAATCAAACACTAAAAATACTTATTATACAAAAAATAATTATAGAGAAGATTATATTAGTTTTTAAAGCTCTAAAGTTGTAAAAAAATGTGGAATCTTTATTTGTAAAATACTCAAACAGTCGTATTTGCGTAATAAAAACGAAATTTTAATAACTAAGTTTAAGTCAAAAAGTCAGTAAGTAAGTTTATGTCAACATCAACTTGAATTGAAAAGTTCGTTCACAGTTATCACAAATATTCACTCAAATATTGCGTTGGTTCTTTGTTAACCCAAAACGTTTGCAAAAATTATCAATTTTCTTCGCGCCGAATTTATATCATTTCGTAAGACTCTTCTGCATCCATCTCCGAATGGAGCAAAAGCTTCCAACATAATAGATGTGTCACAAATAATCTCGCTGTTCTTGTGTTGACACCTAAATCATCTTAAGTTCCGCAAGACTGGGTGTGGAAATGCATAAAAGATGTAAAAATGGTACTTCTATATTTCAAACTTTCTAAATGGGTAAACAACAAATGCTGAACTTGCTCCATTTTCCATTAATTGGTAGCAAATACGACTACCTATTGTAGAATTTATAACCTTGGCGCTTTCCAAATAATTCCTGGACATCGCTATTGAAATCTTACTACATGCGAAAGCGATTTAGATAGAACGAAAGTTCGGAATATCAGAGAAATAATTACAAAATTAAATTAAATAAAACTTTAATTTAGTCATTCAACAATTATTGTTATGATTGGCTCGAAACGGCTAACCAGAAAAATTTTCGAATGACTATTACTTGCTATCATAAAATACTTAACGTTCTGTTCAGCAGTTGGTACAGATGAAAAAATCTGCTGTGGAAGAGCACGCAGTTATGGAATGTCATTGAAATATTTTTCAAGAAGCAGATGTTTTGCATCAAATTCATCACTTTCTTCCAAAAGTTCCAAAAGGCAGAGAAACCATTGAGACTTTCAGACACCCACACAACACAAGGAAGATATTAGTGCGTTTTACCAGAACTGGAGCAGGATATGGTGGCAGTGAGGAATAGTATAAATACAGCAGTAACAGCAATTGAAGATGCTGAAGACAAATTCCCACTCCAAAGGTCAACGACTTATAATTCCAAATAAGAATTTGTGGAAAAGCGTACGCACTCCGTTTGTTGTTCCTTATTGTTATGCTGTATTATAAGACGGCAACATAACACTACCAAATTAATGTAGAATGAATATAATAAATAGAAGAAAGTAAAGTTCCTTATAGTTTCAACATTTCAAAACAAGATTATATAAGTTTGTAATTTTTGGCACATAATCTAACCCAACAGTTGCTATAACTGAAAACACTATCGAAATTTTAATATACTCTGATAGGATAGGATCCTAATCCTAATTGATTGATCTATATTTTTAACATGACTTGAAGGACAGGTGCATGCTGTTGCATAATGCCTGGAGATACAACTAACCTGTTTCTAACAGCATAATCCCGTTGTTTCGCAAATTAATAAAGCGCAACATAAAACTGCGATAACGAACTCCTTATCGCTTAATTACAAACTTCGTCTCTGAAGTACCGAGTCACATTCTGCTGTCCAGCTGTTGATCGTGATAGTTCAGTGGTGAAGTTGGTGAGCATTATTGGGAGCGCAAAAGCGCAAAAAAATTGTATGTGCGTGACTAAAGTTGAGTTGGTTGAGAACTAATGCCAATCAACAAGGAAAAATGTAAGTTGATGGCTAGTAGATATAGATTTCAATTATTAGTACCAATTTCCATGCAACGCAATCTTATTACCTATCACCTATTTGAGAACAACTAATTTTTTTTACGGTCATACAGAAAATCTCGAACATTTCTCAAAAAGTTCAAATTAATTTTAAAATAAGCTTGTAATTTTACTTTCAAAATCAAATGTTTAATTCAAATGTGTTTGCACTTAATCAGAAATAGCTTCAGAATACCACTATTTTACCTGGGGTGTAATCAACCAAATATTTCAAAAAGCTCTAATCCACTACATATTTTAAGTAAGTAATTTATTTTCGTGATATTTTGAATTATTACAAAGATGTAAAGTACCACAAATATAGCAAAGATGCGGTTTTGATGTGCTGATACATAATGAACTTTTAATTTGATATGCTAACCTTTTCGAGTCTTGTATTTGGACGTTATTGTAAATTCCAAATTTAAAGCGACCTTATCTTACCTTACCTAAAATCTGGCGATTACAAATGATGACTACAACGGTGGATTTGCAATATTTAAGATATGACATAATTTGGTTTGGAGAACAATAAATCATTTGTTTGCGTATATTTTATAGCAACCAACCACTGACTCAATATGAACGAAGACCGTTAATTGTACCTATAGAACAGTGCCCTTTGGTTTATATTAGAAATGGGATAATGTTAACTCACATTTTAATTGTGGTTACATTTTACCAATATCTAAAATAAATATTCACGGGGATTCCTAACTTAAGTTTTTGAAACAAACAATATTTTCAAACAGCTTTTTTTAAGAAAAAAGAAAATTACATCACTAATTAATCAACGATATTGTAGAACAAATTTATGAAACTCTGGCAGTCACAAGAAATTCTTATCTTTTGTGTTGACTTTTTAAAAACTGTTCCAAAACAGTTCAACGCTGCTTTAAATCTTCCGCAGAACATTTTCCTTTCCAAACTCATCCCACTCCTAGAAATTTTATAAATGTTGTTCAACAGTTTAGAAATTATCGTATATTTGGAGAACATCCTGGAACGCAAGCAAGACCACATTTTACATGTTGTTGAGATTCAACTCAAAAAATAGTATGGACACTGCTAGAAGATCAGTTGTATCTTTTTATTTTCAACTTGTCCAAGTAGTACAGTCCAAAAATTACCGCTTCTAATGAAGCAACTCGAAATAAAAGTTCCTGAAATAAAAGTCAGTATTTTAAAAATTTGAGAAAAAAAAAATTGCCGGTTTGCTGTGTTGGTAATTCGCAGGCAATTCGGAGAACCAATTTTCAAGACCGATTTTTCTTAAATGTATTGGACACTGGTAAATGTATTATATGTCTTTGGTTGGGCCGAACATACCAGAGTGTTTGACGAATAAAATGTATGTACATATTTTGCAAAATGATTTGCCCATACTTTTACAAGACGTACTACTGATCATTAGTGACATTTGAAAAAGGAAGTGCTGCAGCTTAGAACAATACTTTTCTGAATAGTTCCATTAGCCCAGATGAACCAGTTGTTTGGCTATGAAAGTTGCCAGACCTAAGCCTTTTTCTGTAAGATTTTACGAAAGTTTAGTTTAGTTTACACGTCACAAATTAATACACACAAATATTTAATTCTTCGTATAGAACAAACCAGAGCAACAGTAAGAGAAACCTCGAATTCCTTAACAAAGAAGGAATAGTGACAGCTTTGGACACACTTAACCTTTTTAATCGTCAAAGAAATGCGACTATTTTCCAATAAAATTTGAAAATGTTAGAATAGCCAATTCTTCGAGAACTGCTAAAGAATGAAAACGCTTTCAAACAAGGTGTAATTCAATCTACTATTGCATAATACTCTAAAGGTCCGAAATGGTTTTTGCTTCGATTTCCTGTATGTATAATTTCGCAAATAATTAAAATATAAAAGAACAGACTTAGGGATTGTTTATACCTTGATCTAGAAAAACCGGATTTTTTATTTTTTGTCCTGCTGTAACTCCCTACATTATGAAAGAATATATTAACTTGAGTAGAGACTTTAATATAGGTTGCAATAGCTGAAACTCAAATACTCGTAATATAAAATTTAAAATAAAGGATGATTAAATTAGCCTGAAAAAAACAAAAACCGATAATAGAGAGTTTCTTCTGGTCTTTTTTTGAATAGATCATTATTAGATTATATTTTAATCAAATAAATCAGAACCTTTACACCGTAATAAAACAGAATCAATGAAAAACTAAATTGTAGAAATATTTAACAGTATCGCTTATATTAATTATTCAGACATAATTTCTAAAAATATAAATTATATATAGATTTAAGAGTCTTAACGTAACGTGCTCTTTCAGGACTTATCA